AAATGCCTTCTGGCTCCCAGCATCTCTTATGCTGCCTCTCCACCATCGGCATCCCCGGCATCCCCGTCATTGTCATCCCCACAGCAGCTCCATGTCTTCCGCTCTCACTGTGCTCCAGGCGCTGGGCAATAGCTCATTTATTTCTCACGAGAATCCTGTGAGTGGATACCCACTGGTATCACGTTGATACCCACTGGGCAGAGATGGCAACTAGAGCACAGAGAGTTGAAGTCACCTGCCCAAGGTCACATAGCAAGCGAGAATTTGTCCTCAAACTGTTGGATCCCAAAGCCAGGCACTGAATCACCTCTCAGAGTTCTATGCTGCCTGCTGCCTCCACCCTCCAGGCTTGTGCTCACTCTGAGCCAAGTGTGCAAGACTCAGCCAGGAACGAAAAGGCTGATTCTCTACACACATCTCCGGAGATTGTTTCTTGGGGTCCAGCCGCTCTCTACTGCCGGGCTTCCTCTGAGCCAGCCTCCCAGTTGGGAAGGTCTCTCTGATTCTGCCCTCGCTCTAGCCTGGGTCCTGGAAGCCTGTGCGAGTATGGCCGAGGCTCCGAACTCTTTTAGACATCAAACCAGAATGGCCCTTGGCCTCTCTGACATCTCTCAAGTTCTGAGACAACCAAAGACCTACCCTATTGCATTCACTGAACTTGGGCCTTGCACTGAAGACCTTCACCCAGGGTCTGAACTAAGATACTGCTCCTCCCTCTCTAGGCCTGAGAGGCTTAGGAAGTTGGAGGGGAGTCTAGTCTGTAGCCCCAGAGTGTGGGGCTTTGGGGAGAAGAGACAGGAGAGGAGAGGCAGGATGACATAAGCCGGGGGGAGCTAGTTCTGCTTCTCAGCCTGGGAGGAGAGGCTGCCCCCTAGGTCATAGGGTCTTCTCCTGGGCATGACCTTCTGTCAGCTGGAGGAACCTGGCAGCAAGTGGGGGTGGGGGCAGCAGGCTAGAAGGGTAGGGCCTGCAGCTCTGGGGTTCTAGGACAAAGACAGCCCTCCAAGTATTAGCTGCTCTGTTTCTCCTTGGGAAGGTTTGCCTCCAAATCCTCACACTGAGGGGAGGCATCCAAGCTCAGGACTGAAGGCAGAGCACCCTGTCCTGGATCCTGGGGGGCCCTGGGCATCCTGGGGAGGCCAGGGTGGAGTAGAATGTTGTGTCTGGATGCTGCTGTTGTCCTAAGGGGACGGTCTGTGGACAGTGCTGACTTTTTATAGCTGCATGGGAACCAGCAGGGAGGAGGAGGGGAGGGCCAGGGCCTGGGAGCACAGCTATATTCGGTAAGCAGAGAGGGCCCCTGCCTCAGCCTCTAGAGGTCGGGCAAGCTGGGCGGGGAGCCAGAGACAGACAGGAGGGGGGAGAAAGAGAGCTGCTGGGGGCAGAGAGTGTCTGGTCTTGAGGCTGCAAACTGGGAAGAATCTGACCCACAGATAGGCTTTGCCTGGCCCAGCCGGTGCTTTAAATCAGAAGGAAACATCGGGCTGAGTTAAGTAAGGCTCTGCCCCTTCAGAGGCAGCCTACAGCCTCCATTTTGCCCCAGGCCTCCCTCTTCCCCTCCCTGCTTGTTTCTGTTAGCGAGACCCCTGTGTTTGCACCTGCCAGTCCAGCAGCCCACCTGAGCCTGCTCTGCGTGGTTCCAGCTCTGACTGTCCTCACTGCCTTCCAGTGGGGTCCAGCGGCGCAGGGCCACAAATCCGTTTGGGAGCATCTTGGGCAAGGATGGTACTCATTAGTTTCTGGGTGAGCACTTCCCATTGGTTGGAGCAGAAGCCCTGCCCCCGCCCCTTCTCTCTGTAAGCTTCCACATGCACGTGAGTGTGTGATTCTGTGTGTACGTGTCGTGAGCATGTGTGTGCACATGTCCCACACAGTGGGTGTCACCCGCAGATCTTCCTGGAGCAGCTGTGACAGTCAAGGATCAGAGACTCCATCTGTTGAACCAATTTGACTCCTGCCTCCCATGCATCCTGAACCCCGCTATTTGACTCTCAAGGGTCTCCTCTTGAGGCGAGCCCCTTCTAGGACCCGGAGCCAGGCTAAGGCCAGGAGGGCCTGTGGGGCATGGAGGTGACACCATGCCTCTCTTTTGTATTTGCTTGGTGCTGGCTGAAGATGCGCCGGGAGGAGAAGAGCAGCTACATGGTGGTGCAGATGAGCCAGGAGGGGCCCGCAGCCAGCAGCGAGCTCCCGGGACCGCTCCTGATGCTGGCCCAGAACTGCGCCGTCATGCACAACCTGCTGGGCCCCGCCTGCATTTTCCTGCGCAAGGGCTTCGCCGAGAACAGGCAGCCTGTACGTAAGTTGGCCCCAGTGGAGCCACATTCGACTTGTCTTCAGAGGGCATGAGGAGGTGCTGGGAAGAAGAGGGGCTCTATCGGCAGCAACCCGTATCCCCTCATGGATGTACCCCAAACCCTCAACTTGTGAATCTGACCGCCCCCAAATTTCCCACCCATGGCTGCAAAGCACTGGTGTGTCCACATGCACCAGCAAGAAGTAACAATAGCAGCTAATGTGTTTTGTTTGCTTGCTTGCTTGTTTTTTTGCACACATACTCTGTGCGAGGCTATGTGCTAAGTGCTTTGGTGCATCGCCTCATGTAAGGCTTAGAACAACTCTGAGAGGTAAGTCCTATTATCACCCCCATTTTACAGATGAGGAAACTGATTTGGAGAGGTAAACATATTCAAGATGACAGCTAGGGGGTGGTAGAGGTCGGCTTCAAACCCAGGGAGTCTGACTCAAACTCTTCCTGTTCTCCTAACGGCAGCGCTGAATACACAGGCCTGTCCAGGGGAACTTCCTCCAGTGGTGGAAATATTCTACGATCCATGCTGCCCGATACAGTAGCCACCAGCCACACGTGGCTATTGAGCACTTGAAATGTGGCTAAGGCAACTGAGGACCTGAATTATTAATTTCATTGGCTTCCGATTCCAATTTAAATAGCCACACTCACGGCTACTCTGTCCGGGCAGATATCTGAACGGTCACAGGGAGGAGGGTAATAATGATGATGTTACAGACACAAACATTTGCAGGTTCCACTTACTGAATGCCACATGCTAAACACTTTACATATCTCATCTCACGAGATGCTCGCAAAGTCCCTGTAACATGGGTACTGGTACTAACCTATTTTACAGATGAGGAGACTGTGGCTCAGAGAGCTGAAGTGACCTGCCCAAGGCCCCACAGCAAGGAAGTAGCAGATCGGGCTTTGCCCTTGAGCTTGTCTGACTCTAGAGGTCAAGCTCTTCTCCCAGACCGCATGTGTTGGGGAAAAAGGAGTGTGCATGTGCTGTCTTCCCATCTGACCCCTGGGGATGGTGCTCATGGTTTCCCTGTCACATTGGTGGGCATCCCCGGCTCTACTACGCATACCCCCACTGCTCCACAAGGGGAGTGTGTGATCCAAGGGTCGGCCGCCTGGACTCCGCCAGACCAGCTCTGCCAGAGGCACACGGAGCAGGGGTACCTGGCTTTCCTGCTCCCTGGCTCCGGTTATGCAAGAAGGGGAGGGTGCTGCAGTGGAGGTCAGCAGCATCCTGTTCCTCTCCAATCCTGCAGAGCTGGGTCCTGGAGAAGTGGGAGGCTGCTTGAGGCTTGAAGGGTGGGAAAGGACTCATGTCTGAATGACTTGTCCTAAGGTGTGTGCATGCATACACTTGCCTACTTGCTCACTTCACTTGCTGGGGGTATAGGGCATTGCAAAAATCATCCTTTTTGTCCACCCAAGGTGTTGCTCTGTAGCCCCTTTCTTTTCTTTTCTTTTTTCCCCCTAATTTTATGTATTTGTCAGAGAGAGAGCACAAGCAGGGAGAGAGAGGCAGAGGGAGAAGCAGACTCTGCACTGAGCAGGGAGCCCGATGCAGGACTTGATATCAGGACCCCGGGATCATGACCCGAGCCAAAGGCAGAGCCACCCAGGCGTCCCTCAGCGGCCCCTTTCTAGAAGACTCTCAGAGTTTCCGGAGCTGGTGTCTCTTGCCCTGGGGCCAGTGGGTGGGCAGCTGTCTCTTGCCTGCCCTGACCCTGTTGGCTAGAACAGCCTGCGTGCACAGCTGAGACGCCTCATGCTCGCTGGGGCCTGCCTGTGTGTGTTCATGTGAGGTGTGCCCACACCCGGCGTGCGCTTCCTCAGGGCAGGCACACCCTGCCCCACATTCTTCCTGCCCAAAGTCAGAGAGCTGTGACGTGTGGGGAGGCTGAGCCCTGGGCCCCAGTTTTGTAGCCTACTGAATAGCTCCAGCTGGGCATCCATTTCGTGCTGGTCTGTCCACCTCCTGGGAAGGCCTGGAGTGACCGGCACCTCATCGGCCAGAGCCCACCCTGTGCGTCCTCTGGGCCTGCTCTTTGGAGACTTCTCTGCCATCTGTTCAGATGCCCTAGACCCAGGGCTTCCTTGAGTCCCCAAGGAGACCTGGGCACGGCTCGAAGCTGGAGATGTGTGCTTTGGACCCTGGCGGCAGCCCCCAGCACTGGCAGCCCCCAGGGTCCTATGCTGTGTCCCATGATGGGGCAAGGTGTAGGATGGGGGTCAAGTTGGAGAAGGTGGGCCATGCCCAAGAAGCAGGGCACAGCCCTAATTCTTCCTCCTCGCCCTTGGCTCTTCCTCCTCCCCTTCCTCTCAGGCAGCCTGTCGAGTCCCGGCTTTCTGTCCCTCCAGCCCTTCTCCTGTTGCCTTGCAGGCTTCTTCTCTGTTGTGACCCACAACAACCGCCCACCCCGCTTTATTTACAGGTTTTTGCCTCCATACCAGCTCTGTTCCCTGACACATTCTTGTGTCTGAAATGGGGACACAGATGGGGCTCTGGGGTCTCTGGGCATCTCCTGTGTCTATGGGGAATGTGGGGCTGAACTTTTTTCCCTCAATGACGTGGTCCAGGCCCTCTCCCCACCCGGTGTTTGCTGTCCCTCGGATGGTCCTCAGGTTGGGCATTTTGTGACTCCTAGGCCCCTCGCAGCTGCTAATAGGACACATTCTTTTGTTTCAGGACAGATCACTGCGGCCAGAGGAGATTGAAGGTAAGACCCGGCCCCTTAGGGGAAAGGGCTGCTCAGCTGTCCAGGAAGGTGAGGGAAGGGAGATTGCTGGGGAGAGAGGAAGAGACATCTTGGCCTCCTGGGGATGTGGCCTGGTATAGGGCTGGGCATCCTCTGTGGGGCCAGGGGCCAGGGGAGTGCAGTCTGGGCAGCTCCGGGGCCTGGCTTTCCCAGCTGGTGGGCGCTTGGGCCGCCTCTGCCCAGAGGCTCTGCAGGTCCCACTTTTCGTCTCTTCTTCAGCCATGCCCACTTTTATTCTTTTCCTCAGAGCTCCGAGAGGCCTTCCGAGAATTTGACAAGGACAAGGATGGCTACATCAACTGTCGGGACCTGGGCAACTGCATGCGTACCATGGGCTACATGCCCACGGAGATGGAGCTCATTGAGCTGTCCCAGCAGATCAACATGAACCGTGAGTCCCTCCACTGTGCACCTCCTTCCCTTCCCGCCCCCACCATCGTGGTCCTCTGCAGTCACACAGGCCTGGGTCTCAGTTCTGGGCCCATCTCTTCCAGGCTCTGTGACCTGGGGCAAACGACTTAGTCTCTCTGAGCCTGTTTTCTCAGGGGGAAACTGTAAAATGAGAGAAGCACAGGAAGTCCATGAGGGAATATCTGTGAAACAGCCCCGCGCCTGGCACACAGGGATTGTTGAACAGAAGGAAGCTGTTACTCCTATATTATTCTCTGTCTTAGTTTGGGTTCTCCCAGAAGCAGACCCCGAGACAAGTATTTGAGTGCAAGCAATTTATGTGAAGGTGAAGGGAAGCGTCAGGAGGGAGTAGGGAAGTGAGACCGCAAAGAGGCACAGCCCACAGAGCTTGAGAGGGTGAACTCTCAAGCCAGCTGGCACCACGAGGGCCGAGAGTCTCATTCTGCTAGGCAGCTCCAGGAGTTTGTGCTGTGTTCCCACTTTGAGCCCTCCCCAGTGTTTCTTTCTTCCATCCCTATGTGCCTCTGTCCACCTGCTGACTGGTTCCCTCGGCCTAACCCTGGCCACCCCCCGAGCCATTCTGTGACAGACCAACTGTCCATAGTCACCTCTCTGTCCTCATTTGGGCTTTGGTTGTACCCTGGACCTGGCACTAGATAGGTCAAGGAGGGGTTCACAGTGCCTTCCTTTGCTTAATTAGAGATGGGGAGTGCTTGGATGGATGACCTAGCCCTTTCCTCTATCTCCAGTGGGTGGCCATGTGGATTTTGATGACTTCGTAGAGCTAATGGGACCTAAACTCCTGGCAGAAACAGCAGATATGATCGGAGTGAAGGAACTGCGAGATGCTTTCCGAGAGGTGAGTAATGGGCACTGGACAGGCAGGGGTGAGGGGGGTTGTTGGAGTTCCGACCTGCAGGACGGTTACTTGAGAAATCTGAGCCCTGGATCACATACCAGGGGAAGGAGCTTGGACAGAGAAGGGTCTTTGGGGAAGGGGGGAGACAGGCTAGAAAAGGAGCCCAACCTTGGGATCTGCTTCTACATTTCCCATGTTGTAGCTACTCCTCTCTCCTCTTTGCCCTCTCCAGTTTGACACCAATGGTGATGGGGAGATAAGCACCAGTGAGCTACGAGAGGCCATGAGGAAACTCCTGGGTCATCAGGTGGGACACCGAGACATAGAGGAAATTATCCGAGATGTGGACCTCAATGGGGATGGACGAGTAGACTTTGAAGGTAGGTGGGGTGTGAATGTGGAAGAGAAGCCAAGGTGGTAGTGACGATCCATGGAGACTTCCAACTGTGTACCCATCATGATTCCAACTTTCCATGCTCCTACCCTTCCATTCTCTTACCCCTTCATCCAGGCACTCCTGTAATCCACCTTCCCCTTCATTCCTACCCCCATCCATCCATCAGTCCATCTTGCCATCTATTCATTCACCCATCTTTTCGTGTGTCCAGATGTCTATCCACTCATCCATCTCTAAACAATTATCCATTCTACCATTTATTCTGGCACTTATGTAACTGTGTGTCTGTTCATTCTTTTGTACATTCATCCATGTATCCGCTTACCCATGTATATCTGTCTATCCATACATCTATACTGTTTTTTTTAAAGGATTGTTTTTTGTTTGTTTGTTTGTTTTAAGATTTTATTTATTTATTTGCGAGAGACAGAGATCATGTGCATGGGGGAAGGGTAGAAGGAGAAGCAGGCTCCCTGCTGAGCAGGGAACCTGATGCGGGACTCGATCCCAGGACCCTGAGATCATGACCTGAGCTGAAGGCAGAAGCTTAACCGACTGAGCCACCCAGGCGCCCCATACATCTATACTTCTGTGCTTCTGTTCATACATTCATGTATCTCCCTCCATCTGCCTATATCTCTACCCACACTTCCGTTGATCTCTCTGTTTGTAGAGTCATTTCCCCATCTTCATCCATCTTCTCATCGATTGATTGATCCATCCATCCATCCATCCATCCATCCATTCTTGCTTCTATTGACCCCATCCATCTCTGCCCATTTATCTGTCCATCTACTCCTGCTTCCATCCATGCTAGATATTTTCGGAGCACCCCATTCATCAATCTGACACTCAGGGCCCCTGAGATCGGACCACGGCTCACCTCCCCAATTGCAGCTCCACCTGTCCCTTTACTCACCTTCTGCCTTAAAGCCATACCCTGATACTTGTGGTCCATGATCCTGCCATGCTCTCGTTTGAATGCACTGTTCGTTTGGTCAGGATGCCTTTTATTCTGCTCTTCACCTGGACTAAATTCTCTTCACCCTTTAAGACCCAGCAGTGGGGCCACTTCCTCTGGCACTTCCTTGCTGGTTGCAGGCTGAATTCCTCTTTCCCGGGCTTTTACAGCACCTCAGGCTCGCCCTCGTTCCTCACACTGTCCCTCGAGTGCTAGCTGTGTCTCCTTTTGATGGAACTTTTGGAAAGGAACATTTTCTTTATCTCTGTATTTCCTCATAATTCAGCACCTGGCACATAGCTAATGCTCAGTAAGAGTGTTTTTTTTTTAAATGAATTAGTAATAATTCCAATAGTTATCATTTATTGTACATGTATTATATACCAGTCACTGTACTAAGTACACTTATACATATTGTCCCATTTTATTCTCACAACAACCCTCTGGACTGCACTTTTATTGCCTCATGATACAGATGAGGACACTGAGGCTCATATGAGAAGTCATATGACTTGCTTGAGATCACCTCACTATTAAGATGCAGAGCTGGATCATACTCCACATCTGGAATCTCAACCACTACATACACTACACTGCATGATACCATTCAGGACAGCTATGGGATACAGGGCAAAAATATAGTAAAACATTGACTCTGAACTCTAGGAACTTGCATTCTGAGCAGAAAGACAAGATAAACATGTGCCAGAATGTGAGTGTATCCAGAACCCAAAGGTTGGGAGGTCTTTTCTGGGGAGCAGGTAGACTCCAAGTTTGAAGAGAGTGTGGCTACATGGAAAGATGGCTTTGCTGCCACCAGATTTGAATTTCGGGTCGCCCTGTGTCCTGGCAGTGCCCCCTCACCCCCACAGACAACGGCCCTTCCCTACAAGCCCAGGGTCCCCCATTTATTTATTTATTTATTTATTTATTTATTTATTTTAGGTTTTTTTATTTATTCATTCGAGACACAGAGATACAGAGAGAGAGAGAGAGATACAGAGAGAGAGAGAGAGAGAGAGAATATGAGCAGGGGGAGAAGCAGAGGGAGGGGGAGAATCAGGCCCCCCGCTGAGCAGGGAGCCCAATGCGGGGCTCGATCCCAGGACCCTGGGATCATGACCTGAGCCGAAGGCAGACGCTTAACCATCTGAGCCACCCAGGCGCCCCTCCCCCATTTATTCTTCTAGCATGTATCGTACTCCTACTGCATGTTGAGATCTGCCTTGAGGAACCCAAGACCAGCAAGGAAAACAGAAGCCAACAGTATAATCCATGCTGTTTTGGGGGGAATACAGCAAGCTGTGGGGTACAGAGGGGGCATCTGTGCCAAGCTGGAGAGGGGATTAAGGAAGGCTTCCTGGAGGAGGCTGTAAATAAGTAGAGCCCTAAGGGATGAGTAGGAACTGCCAGGTGAAAAAGAAAGAAGAGGTATTTACCCAAATGAATTGAAACTTACGACTACACTGAAACCTGCACACGGATGTTTATAGCAGCTTTATTTACAATTGCCAAAACCTGAAAGCAACCAAGACGTCCTTCAGTTGGTGAGTGGATGAACTGTGACGATGGAGTATTATTCACACTTAAAAGAAACGAGCTATCAAACCATGAAAAGACAGGGAGAAATCTTAAGTGCCTATCGCTAAGTGAAAGAAGCCAATCTGAAAAGGCTACATAGTGTGTGATTCCAACTGTGTGACATTCTTGAAAAGACAAAACTATGGAGACGGTAAAAAAGATCAGTGGTTGCCAGGGGTTTAGGGGGAGGGAGGGATGAACAGGTGGAGCACAGAGGATTTTTAGGGCCGTGAGACCGTTCCGTATGACACCATAGTGGTGGATACACATCCTTGCGCATTTGCCCCAACCTATAGAATGGACAGCACCGAGGGTGAACCTGAATGTTACTGTGGCCTCTGGGTGATAACGACACATCCATGTAGGTTCATCGATTGTAACAAACGTCCCACCCTGGTGCGGGATGTTGATGGTGGGGGAGGATGTGCAGGTGTGGGGCAGGGTGTAAATGGGAACTGTACTTTCTGCATAATTTTGCTGTGAACCTAAAACTGCTCCAAATAATCAAGTCTAGTTCAAAGAAAAAGGAGAAAGAGGAGACAGGTTGCAGGCAAGCTGAGAGGTGGAGGGAGGGTGAGTGTACCCGCTGCCCTGAGAGGGAGATCCGGGCAGTTGGAGCTCAGGGAGGGTGAGCCATGAGAGAGAGAGAGAGAGAGAGAGAGAGAGAGAGAGAGACATCAGCTGGGGCCACAGCAGGGAGAGCCTCGAGGCCACCGACAGGATATGGGACATTTTCCCGCGGGGAGCCCTGAGAAGTTTCAGAGGGGTCAGCCATGTAGATGAAACAGGCCCCCTCCCCCAGCTGCTGTGCACAGGATGGATTGGAAGAGGCCCGATGGCAGTGGGGGGACCTCGCATCCGAGGGAGATTTGGAGGCTGCGGCCTGAGCTGGGCCTGACTGTGCTGTTTTCTCCCCACCCCGTCCCGTGCCCTCGCAGAGTTTGTCCGGATGATGTCCCGCTGAGGCCGCCAGGGCCCCTCCAGGACTGCCAAGCTCCTGGGCGGGAGAAGAGGAGCCGCAGTGCGCCTCACCCCGCCGCAACCGCCGAGAGCCCAGGATGGACTGGCGGACGGGGCCTGCCTGCACCCCGGGGAGGTGCCCACCCTGGACCCCCACCCCTCCGCACTGTGAAAGACTCACAACTCCTGCAACTGGAAAGGGGGGGCGCCCGCCGCCGCCGAGGCCACCGTGCCAAGCCGGCAGAGGTGACGCCGGGCGCCAAGTGCCACGGACCCAGCCGCTGCTGGTGGGGTGGGCCAGGGAGCCCGCCGGCAGCCCCCACACAGCATGTCCGCCCCGGGGCAAAGCCTCTTGCCGCCCTCCTTCGCTCTGTGCCCGTCCCAGCTCGCCACAGCCCTGTTCTCTCAGAACCAATAAACGTATTTCCCAGGCAAGGGCAGCTGTGGGGGTCTTTTGCTTCTTGGGCCCAGTCAGATGACGGGCATTTCCTGAGTACCAGTTGCACGCCCAGAGCTGGCCCAACAGTCCTGCGTTCAGCATGCGTTTATTTTTATTTATTTATTTATTAAAGATTTTATTTATTTATTTATTTGGTAGAGCGCACAAGTAGGCAGAGTGGCAGGCAGAGGGAGAGGGAGAAGCAGGCTCTCTGCTGAGCAGGGAGCCGGACGTGGGGCTCGATCCCAGTACCCCAGGATCATGACCTGAGCCGAAGGCAGCCACTTAACCAACTGAGCCACCCAGGTGCCCCCAGCATGCATTTATTGAGCACCGTTAGGGACCTGCTGTCATCTCAGAAGCCAGAACCTTGTACCTCTAACTGGAGGGGAGCCTGGGAGAGATAGTGATCTGGCTGGGTACCCAGCTGCCCCGAACAAAGTCAGGCTCTATTAGAAAAGGAGAATAGGTACTGGGTGAGCATCCAGCCAGGGTCTGCCCACTTCCTGTCTTCCTGGAGCTTCCAGCCTGGCGGGAAGACAGACATGAAGTGCTTCAGTACGCCGGGGTTACAAATCGTGATGCTTTTATGCGAGAAAAATGCAGGGACCTGTGGTAGGCTCTAATAAGGAGGCCTGGCGTCCTCCGGGGAGGTCAGCAGAGGCTTTCCTGAGGAAGCGATGACAAGGTGTTTGCCACAGAGGAAATCCCAGGGTGTGTGTAAAACAGATGTCCAAACAGCTGCCCCCTGCTCAGCAGAGTGGGCAGTGGGAGAGTAGAGTGCTTAGGTCCTGGGTTTACTTGCTCTGTGACTTTGGGCCAGTCATGTCCCCTTTCTGAGCCCCATATGTAGTAGGGGAATAATAAAGGCTAATAAAATCCCCTCCAAGGGCCGTCATTCACATAACAGCTGTGCAAGGCACTGTTAAACAGGACCCGTTTGTAATCACTGTAACTAAGTTCTGTAGGTGAAGGGTTGAAGGAGTCTAACGGAGATGTTAGTGGGTAGAAGTTGCCCGGAATCTTTGACAGGGTTAGGGCAAAATCAGGTGTGTGGGACAGACCCGTGTACTTCGAGCCTGTGGTTCTCAAGCTGTAGCGTGTGAGAATCACCTGGAAACTGTTAAACCAGAGATCTGGGCAGCCCCCTAGTGATTCCGATTCAGGGTCTGGAGTGGGGTTTGTGAACATGCATCTCTAACAAGCTCCCCGGGGGTGGGGGTGGGGGTCCTTGCTGCCAGTCGAGGACCATACTTTGGTTTTTAAAAGCCTCAACAAATCAAGAGCACCCATGACATGAGACTAATGAATAGTTTTGCCAGAGAACATGAATTTCACCAAAACATTGAATTCCACAGCCACGGCTATGGAGGCAGGCTTTGGATTCTGGCAGAACTAAAGGCTTATCCCCAGGAAAGGGCACTGAAGTGAGTCCTAACTGCTGGGCCACAATTTGAATAACACTGCTGTAAGTCCCAGACACGTGGGAGGCAGGTGTGCTCCCAGGCAACAGGGTTGGGGTAGGGGGAGGCTGTGGGCTAAAGGCTGGAAGTGGGGGCTG